GTGATTACCGACGTGTGCTCTGAACAGCTTGGACGAGAGCGTGCCTGGCTTAGCAGGGGCATAATTACACGCTTCGCCTCTAAGTGGGTGTTAGCTCTGTGCAGGTGCAGCTGCGTTTTCCTAGCTCGTTGATGGGGGCAGCCTGCGTTTCTGGGTCGATTCCCTCTCCTGTGACATTGTTCCTCGGAGACCTGTCTCCCCGCACAGCCGGCTGGTCCCGTGGGCCCTCTCTTCGGGGGCGGCTTGCCAGTGGCTGAGACCTTGCACATTGCGGAGAAGCGGTTCCTGATGAGGGGCCCTGTTTTTTCCAGCTGCACTCGTTGGTCACTGCTCTACCCCCTTTGAGCTCCTGGTGTTACTGGGCTGTCTCTCCTCGTTGGTCAGAGGGGACCTCTGTGTCTCGGTCTGCATCCCTCTCCCCTGCTGATGCACCACTTCACAGGCTTCCCTTGCTTGTAGCCCTCAGGTCTCATACCTGCCCAGAAAAGTCCTATTGGACCAAAAGGTTGTACCCATTTAACAGATGTGAAAGCTGAGACCCAGGGTGGCTCAGCAACGTGTCCTGAGCCTACTGCTGGTTTTCACAGGGCCTTGCAGGCCCGCTGCTGGATGGGGGTCGGAGTCCCAAGGTGTCTGGTGATAGATAACCTTCCTGATGTCACATCCGTGGCCTGTGCCTGGGGCCTGACAAGGCCTTGTGGTGGGATGCTTCTCCTTGCTGATGGCCCTGCCTCCTGGGCTTCTGGGAGCTCCTTTCTCTTACCTTGGGTCGTCTTTGTCAGGCTCCTTTGCCATCCCTTCTCTCTCCAGGCAGCTCACCCAGGGGAACTCTGTCAACTCCAGGACCAGGTGCCACTGTTGCTTCCTGAGGACGTGCTGTAAGCAGGGCAGTGGCCAGTGACAGAAACTCAGTGTAAACCGTTCTCAGCAAAACCCCGCAGCTGGAAGCCCCGAGAAGACAGGCTCCAGGCCATCAGGAGGTCACAGCCCTGACCCAGAGATGCTGGCCTTTGCTCCCGGCGTGACCGCAGTGGCTGTGGCCTGTGCTGCTGGCAGTCCCCAGGACCCAGCCTGGGAAGGGTCAGGGATGGCCTGGCTCAGGGTGCACACCCATCCCACAACTATGTGAGGTGCCGGCCACATACCAACCCCTGAAGGGGGCGTGGCAGGACTGAGGCGGGCAGTTCTGAAAGGCAGGAAGCCAGGGCAGAGCAACCCCTTGGACTGGGTTCCAGGCTTCTCCTCATTTGACAGATGAGGAAACTGAGGCCGAAGGTACAGCTGGGTCGGTTCCATGCTCTCCTTTGGGGACGTACCCCACCTCTTCCAGTCCTGGGGATCTCACCACCTCTGGCACCACCATGGTTGCTAAGATGGCAGTGTGCCCAGGTTCCGTGAGATGCACTTTCCTGTCCTCTCTCAGGGCTGCCCGGGGCCTGCCCCTGTGCCCAGACTGTGAGCATCACAGCTCTTTCTGGTTCTTTTGTGTCCTTTCCTCCTGTCCCAGGAGGGGGCTGCCCTGGAAGGAAACCTGCTCTCCTCCCTCTTTTCTGGGGGAAATTTGGTCCTGCCACCAGCAGCACCTGGCCGCTCCCCCGCGGCACCTGGGTGCCTGACAAAGTCCGGCGTGTTTTCTGGGCTTAGACTCCAATCGAATGTGCCCACGCGTGGCAGTCCGTGGCCGGAGCGGGTCTGGCTTAGCTGCTCTGGGAGTTTGGAAGCTCTCCCAGTGAATCCCGAGCTCTCTCCTTCAGTCAGTGGATTGACTCAGGTCCTTACCAGGGTCTGCTTCATGCCAGGCACTGGGAATGCCCGTAGCTGGTGTCACCTGCCGTTTAAAAGGCAGTTCGAACAAAGTCACTTTTCTAGTTTTTGAGATTATAGTAGAGGTACTTGGCACAAAATGCCAGAGATGCAGGGTGAAAAGGAAGTCCCATCCATCCCCGCGCCCCCCAGCCACATTTGCCCTCTGACAAGAGGCCACCATTTTCTTGTAGTGCTTTGGATTTGTTCTGTGTGCCGGTTGGCGTGCTTAACCCAGATAATGTCTGCTGCAAGGGGTTTGCAGCCTCAGGTCACGTATCGGCTTCTTAGAGAGGTGACTGCCCTCTGTGTGCCGGGAGCACTTCCTCATTCTTTTCAGAGGGAAGGGAGGAGGGGGAGAGACTGAGAGGGAACCGTCCCTGATTGGTTGCCTCCCTCACACACCCCGACCAAGGTACACGCCCTTCACTGGGAATGGAACCCGGGACCCTTCCTTCTGCCGGCCAACGCTCTTGCCCCTGAGCCAAACCGGCTAGGGCCCTCATTCTTTTTAACCGCCGCCTAGTGTTCCCCGATGTGTGTGCCCCTTCTCTGAGGGAGGGGAGAGGCCACTGCCCGTCCTTTGCTGTCATAGACAATGTGCATGGCCGTTGACAGCCATAGCCTGGAGCATGTGGCATGTTTGCATGTCTGTGGGCGGGATCCTGGAGTTGGGGTTTCCATGAGGGGCAGCTAATCACCTGACAGACAGCTCTCTGGTTTCTCTTTCCTCCTCCCCGCTCCTGCCTCCCTCCCGTCCTCCCCCCTTTGCCTTTGGTGTTAGGATTCAGCTTCCGGACTTGCTGGTCAGGGCTGGCTTCAGGCCTGCTGCCTGGGAGTGGAGGTTGTGAGCACCTCTGTCCTGCAGGAGTTCCCACGAGGGAGGAGCCCAGCAGGCTCTCGTGTTTTTCTGAGCGGCTGCCCCGTGTGCATCTTTCACCTGCCCCTCCTTGTCCCAGTTACACCGTGGTCCTGGAGGATGCAGACCGGGCTTGCCCAGCTCAGGCCTCTCTCAGCTTGCTCATCCGAGGAATGGGCCAGCATGCCCCTCCCTTGGTGCAGGGGTGGGGGGAGGGCATCTGTGCGGTGGGCACCGGGGGGGATCAGCTCCCACACCGGCTAGGGGTATGGCGCACGCGGTAGGGCCTGAACTGACGGGAACTCTGCCCCCTCTTCTCTGCCGGAGTCGCAGTGTCTCCCTTTGGAGCCCTGAGCTGCCCAGGAACTGTGCTCTCCTCCTGGGAGGTCAACCCCACTTGGTTCTCGGCATTACTTCGTTTCTTTTATGTTTCGGGCTCCATCTGTTTTCAGAGTTAGAGACCTGTTTGTCCGTAGGGCTGGGGGAGGGAGCGCTGTCTGGGAAGATGTCACGTGCGCAGTGGAAATGACTCGGCTTCCTCGGGAGAGTGACAGGCGCACGGATAATCTGGATGCCGCCAGGATTAACTCAGAGGGAAAGACTGCGGCCCTGGCCGGCACCCAGGGCGGCCTGCACCTGGTGTGGGTCACGTCCACCTGCCCTCTGGCTCCTCAGTGTCCCTGTCTTTCCTGTCGTGCGGCCCCACGCTTGTTGTTTGGCGCATTCCTGGGGATTGCTCCCTCAAACGTTTAAGATTTCTGTGCAGAAGCGGGGAGGGGGAGGGAGGGGCCTGGGGTGGGTGGTACACTGAGCCCAGCCTGGCTAGTTCCAGGTGAGTGCCGAGTGACGGTGGCAGTTTACTGTCTCTGCTGCTCACATGGGGCCGGACAGCCTGGGCAGGAGGCAGGGCTCCGATACAGTGTGGGGGGTGAGCTGGTGACCGGTGTGGCCCAGGCCTGGCGATGCTGGCTGTGCCCCTGTGCTGCGTGTCCGGTCTGTCCGGTGAGCCATCTCTGTTCTCTCCTGCTGTCTCACGTAGCGGCTTCCCGGGAGGTTCGGCTCCTGGCCGGGCTCTCAGAGGCTCTGGGGCCCACTGTCAGACTGGCAGGCGTCCCCTCCGCTGTGCCACGTGAGGCGACAGGCCTGCTCCCTCAGGGCCTGAGCTATGGCTATTGCATTTGTTGTTCCCCTGAGTGCCAGGCCCGGCCAGGCTGGGCACAGGAACTGTGGTTTACATACTTAGGTTTACGGAGCATCTCTATGCCAGGCGGGGCCTGGGGCACACAGTCACTGAGTCTGCCCCGGTCCCTGCTCTAAGGAAGGGATGTGGGCCAGGAAACTCCATACCTGACCTTTCCAGGTCCCAGCCCTGAGTACCTACAGGAGCCCTAGACTTTTCTCCAGGAAAATGCGTGTGGGCATGGTAGTTGGCATGCCATCTCCAGCAGTCCCCCCAGTGACGGAGGGCCGGGAGGGGGTGAAGGTGGGTCAGGACTGGCTTCCTGGGGGCATTTTTGTGCGAGCCCAATCCTAACGGCTGAGGGGGAAGGGGAAGACCAAGGCTGGGAGATGCGGCCCGCCCTGTAGTCCTGCCTGCAGTGAGAATGTGGGGCGGGAAGGCCAAGGGGAGTGAACTGCCAGGGAGCCTTGGTTGCTCTGGGGAGACCCCCACCCCAGTTTGCAATGGGGCAGGCAAGTCAGGGCACTGGTTTTGGAGACCAGGGGCCCTGGGATGTGGCAGAGAGAGGCGGAGATGAGGCCCAGCCCCGGGGACATCGGTGAGGCTGAGATGGTTGAACCAGGGTCAGAGGGCGGGCAGGGTGTCAGTGGGGTCAGAGATGGCTGGGGTGGACTAGCAGCCGGAAGGCCTGAAGGTTTGGGGGCTCCTGCGTGAGGGAGAGTGGATGGGCTGGAGGGGGACAGGCCGGGGCAGACCTGGGAACCAGGCCGGGGTCTGTGACCAGCGCTGGGGTGAACAGGGGAGTGAATATGGGGTGGGAGGGGCCTCGGGCAGTGCAGGCTGGGGGAAGAGATGAGGCCCTGACACAGGCCTGGCCCCGGGGTGAAGGGGAGATGCTGGCTGGGAGGAAAACAGGTCTCGGAGGGACTCTGGCCACGTCCTTCTGGGGAACGCCCTCCCTTTCTGCCAGGAGGTGGCTTTGAGGACCTGAGAGTTCACAGGCCTTCCCCTGAAGGCGAGGCCGTTCTGGGAGCATGGCCTGAGAGGCGCAGCCGCAGGCTCTCCTCCCCTCCTGCCTTCAGCTGGCTGTAGAGAACGTTCTGGAAGGACACTTCCTGCCTGCCCAGTAACCTTTGTCTTCTTTGTTTTCCTCCACAGGAAGCGAGGGATAGAAGTGGTGCAGGTGAGTACGGGCCCTGCCTCCCCCTCCTTTCACGCTGGGCCTCTCAGCGCTCACCTCCTTCCCTCCTGGGGTCTGGGCGCTCCAGGCCTTGAACTTCTCCCCACCAGCCTCGGTGACTGCCTCCTGGGGCGGGGCTTGGGTGGGGCTGCTGGCCTGTCGGGTTCCTGGAGTTGCTGTGGCTTTGTCCGTAGACTAGACTAGACGGAGCTGGCTGGGGGAAGAGATGAGGCTCTTGGGGGAAAGGGTGGGCAGGGTGAGGGGGGCATCGCCACCCAGCCAGATGTCCGTGGTCCTGATGCCCCCAGTTTGTCTGTGCCTATCCTCGGGCTCTGCTGAGGGAGCACGAGGCTCCCCCCCACCCCCCTTTGCCTGGTGGTTTGGTGCTGGGGGAGAGCCCTCTCCTATATCCATCCTTCCTGTGAGTGGTGTCATCTCCGAAGACCACTCCTGTCCCCCACTCCCAAGTCAGTGTGTGTACCTTCCCCCTGGCACCCTTTTCTGCTGTCAGGCTATACCTGCCCTGCCCATGGGCCCCTGGCTCCTGGGTGGACTGAATTGGTGCGGGGCTGACCCCTGACCCCATGTTGCCTCACCCTAGGGTGGACTCTGGTTAGGTGCGCATTGGCTGGAGGCAGAAGGAAGGATGGACAGAGAGAAGCTCTCCAGGGCCTGGAGCTAACGCTGTGGCCCAGAGACAAGTGTACCAGCCTGCCCTGAGGGCGGTGGGTGAAGTGGGGGGAACTGTCTGGCAGCCTTGGCTTCCCTTTTCTGTAGCCTGTGGGTTGAACTCATCACCCCGAGGCTGAGGTTTGTTTTGGGGGAGGAGTCAATTCCTGGAAGCCTCCTCATGGCTCTAGCATTTTCCTCCAGGCTCTTGACTCCACTCGGTGCTTGGTCTGCTCTGAGCTTTTCTGTGGCCCTTACTTTCTCTGTACATCAAAAGGGGGGAGTCAGCATTCAGGGATGGCTAAGAAGTTTGCCTTCAGGGCATGTCTGATTGATTGGCTGAGGGTGCCTGCAGGATCCTAAATCTGACTGGCTGAAGGGAGGGGTTGATTGGCAGTGCCTTTGGGGGCGGGGTCCTGCAGTCGGCAGAGGATGGGGGGGGGGGGGCGGAGTAAGTTTGCCATTCTGGGCCAGGTGTCTCAGCTCCTTCTTGCTCCAGGATGCTTCGGCTAGTTTTTGCCTCTTGGTCCTCTCCGACCGTTACCTGGTATCACCTGGTTCCCTTGCAGATGGCGGTACCGCCGCCCAGGCCTGGCCCCATAGTTGGAGCTTAGTTTGCGAAGGATAAGGTGGCGGGACAGTCCCGATTTTTAACAATTTGTCCCGCGTCCCGCGGCGTTTTAAAAAAGTCCCGACTTTTGGAACAAATCGTTAAACATCGGATGTCTGGTCACCTTAGCGAAGGACCAAGTGCCCCGCTGAGGTTAGCTCCCCGGGGTCCACTCGGAAATTCCCGTTGGGAGGTGTTTGTAGAGGAAGTGACGTCATGTGCCCACCAGCAGTCACGCTGCTTGGAAGGAATGGGCATGTCCCCCAACACCTGATTCCTGCTCACACAGGCCCCACGTGGGACACGGGGAGGCCACCCCATCACTGGAGTGGGAGGCCCTGGAACCTCAGAGGGCGAGGGACAAACCGGGGGGTCAGTGTGTTCAATTCACGTGGCCTCCCCGGGAGGATTTAGACTAAAACCTTTAATCCACTTAGCCTGTGGCTGCAACTGGAGACTGGAGCCATTATTTCAGAATTAAGTACCAGGCGGAAAGTTATGAAATCTTTCTGGATGTATCTGCTGTTCACTTTATCTGCCATGGGGAGGAAGTGGTGGCTGGCGACCAGAATGAAGCCAAACTGGACGCTCTCCACACCGGCATCTAAAAATAAAACCCACCTCCACGCTCCTCTGTTCGCCTCTTCCTGGCGTCCCTGGGTGTTTGGAGAACTTGAAATTTCCAAGACACACAGAAACTCTCATTGCAAACATGGGAAGGGAATCCATTTAGCTGGTTTTTAAAAACCAGCCAGGCTTCTTTCTGTGTGCCAAGTCTCCAGGCTGCGGCTGCTGGAGACGGCTGGCCAGTCACTTAGGCGACCGTGACTGAAGAGGTGCCAGCATTTCCTGTGTCAGGTGCCCTGATGGCCGTTCTCCCGTTTTGTGCAGCCACCTAGTGCTGTGGTGGAGTTTTCACGTCTGTCTAGAGACGAGGAAACTGAGACTCAGATGTTGTGACTTCTCTTGAGGAACTCAGCTGGTAAGTGGGTTGAGCTGAGAGTTGAATGCAGGTCTGCCTAGCTCCAAGGCCCGCATGCCAATAGGCTGTCTGTCCATTTGCTAAAGGCTTACAGGCCTCTCATTGTCTGGGGATTGGCTACTGTTTGACAAAGGATGTTGGGCCTGAAGTCAGGAATGAAAAACAAAACGCTGGTTAGATCTGCAGTGTTTGCCTCTGCCATGAAGTCATTCTCTTCCTGCTGTTAAATGGCAGCAGTAGGAGTGAGGGTTTCACATTTACTTGGTTCTTTGGGGTTCTGGGCATGGACAGCATTTACTTTGAACAAGCATGTGTGTGTAACCTCTCCAGGGCGGCAGTGGGAGTACATTTAAGAAGTCCATTTTGCAGCTTCTCGGCTCCCTCATGCTCATTCCTGCAGCCGACCTGCTGGGGGAGGAGCTTGTAAACTGTCCTTCCGGCCACCCCTTTGCATCAGCCTCCCTCCTTCCCTCCCACCTCCTCAGAGGCAGAGCACCAAGTGCGAGCAAGACTCTTGGGTTCATGGTTCAGGCTGTGAGACCTCAGGCCTGTAGTCAACTGCCCGGGTCTCAGTTGGCCCATCTGTTAGATGGAATAATAATGGTACCTGTCCCCTGGGAACGTTGTTAGTTCCGGTGTGCAGTTAATTTGGGTAAAGCAGGAGGTACAGAACCTGGCCCGAGGGAAACTGGTTATCTGCAGCAGAACCGCACCCTCCTTATCACGCACCCTCATTATCAGATGTGAATCTGGTGTGTGACTGCACCCTCCTTATCATGCACCCTCATTATCAGATATGAATCTGGTGTGTGACCGGATAGGGGGGTAGGAGAACGGTGTGTCATGAGGGATTTTGTGATCCCGGGGCCTGTGAGGGACTTCCTTTCTTTGCTTGCAGTGAAACTGAAAGAGGACTTGATTGAGTTGTCAGCTGATAGAACATTAACAACAATTTTTGAGAATAAGTTACTGTAATTCTTAGCATATAATTCTGAAGGAATTCAGAGAATGTGCTGTGGTAAATCTCTTTCCATTTCATCTTATTTATTTGAGTGAGTGGTCTCAGCACTTACAGCTATACAAATTGAAAAATGGAGATAGAATTGATAATAAACTCAGTCTTATTCTAGCGATAGGTATTACGCCTTCGTGGATACAGGAAGCAATTAAATTTCCACTCATCTCTTCTGAAATGTATTTCTAACAGTGTTTTAATTTTTTGTGCTTATTGTTAATACAAATTTGTAATATATTTCTGTGGTATTAGTTATGTACTAGTAGTAATCTTTTTAAAAATATATATATTTTATTGATTTTTTTACAGAGAGGAGGAGAGAGGGATAGAAAGCTAGAAACGTTGATGAGAGAGAAACATCGACCAGCTGCCTCTTGCACTCCTCCTACCGGGGATGTGCCTGCAACCAATGTACATGCCCTTGACTGGAATGGAACCTGGGACCTTTCAGTTTGTAAATCGTCGCTCTACCACTGAGCCAAACCGGTTTCTTACCCATTAATGGACAAACATGTAAATTGACCATACCTCCACTACACCCACCAGCCAATCAAGAGTGATATGCAAATTAACCCAAAAAAAGATGGCAGTTAATTTGCATACATAGGTAGGTGCCAAGTGCCCAGGGCAGGTGGGATGCTTGCGTCATTGCCATTGTGATGATGCAGGTGTTCCACCCCCAACCCCAGTCTCTTAGGGTCTCTGGGCAGCATGGGAAGGTCTGGCCGGAGCGGAAAGAGGCAGCTCCGGGGTGGGGCCTGAGCCGAAAAGTGGTGCCGGCAGCCAGGGAAAGGAAGGCCCATTCTAGCACAAACCTTTGTGCATCAGGCTTCCAGTCCCATACAATAAAAAACAATATGCAAATCGAATGGCGGAACGACAGGTTCCTGTGATGTGCACTGACCAGGCGCTGCCCCCTAGTGGTCAGTGCACCAGAAGCCAGGCTCACGGCTGGCGAACGAAGCTGCTGTTTCTCTGGTAGAGCCTCTCCCGCCTTCCTGGTAGCACTAAGCCGTCAGTCGGACATTCCCCAAAGGGTCCCCGATTGGAGACGGTGCAGGCTGCGCTGAGGGAACCCCCTTCTGTGCACGAATTTCATGCACCAGGCCACTAGTACTCAATAAAGACCTTCAAACATAAAACACACTGAGGATGGAAACACTGAGGGATGTGGATTGGAAAGTTGGAGGAGGCCAAGGGAACATTGCCAGCTTCCCAGGTGTTTAAGAATCTGATTCTGTAATTTTAAGATGGATGGTGGTTGCTCTCAAATCGCTATGATATTTAGATTCCATTGGATCCATTTAAAAGGGAAACAGTAACAGTTTTATTTTGAAATGTTAATATTTACAATATGTTGGAAATTACATCCTCTACAAGTATTTAAACTTATGATGAGAAATTTTAGATGTCAACTTGAAAATGTGCAAATAGAAACATAGTTTTAAACATTTATTTTGGGGGTTTGGTTTGAAGGCCGCTGCTTTCCAACATTACCCCGTTTACTTCTTAAAAAAATCAGGCCCCTCGGCAGGTACCACTGCAGAGAGAGATGGTGCCCAGCTCTCAGGCCATCATGCAGAGGCCCGGCCAGGCTGGACCACTCGGACTCCAGGGCCTCTGTGTCTACTGAGCATCAGAAAGGCCTCTGCAGTGGGCTTGTCTGTCAGCCGCTTGCCTTCCTAACCTGAGTCTGTTAGGCAAGGCAGTGGTCGGCAAACTCATCA